GTGCCAACCTGCCCTGGCATCTCCCCCTAAGGCTGTCCCCCACCCCATGTCGCTGTCTCCGGGCTGGTTCTCCCATCCTCCCCATCCTCAGTCTTCTTCAAACGCGTCCTCCCCTCACGCTATCTCATTCCCTCAGGCCAGACCCCTGTCATCCTGGCTTGGCCGCAACAGGGGTGGGTGGCCCCTCCAGCGTACTACCTCCTCCCAGCAGAGGCATCTCCATAAACCACACAGACAACGGGGGCTTCCTCTGCTCAACACTTTCCATGGAAAACCGGAAATGACTGAAGTATCCATCACAGGGGGAAGGGACAAATAAATGATGGTCCACTCATCGAGTGGACTGCTGTGCAGCTAATCAAACAGAACAAGAGCTCCATGTGGCCTGAGAAGATGCTCATGACACGCTGATGAGTGAAAAGAGGAAGATGGCAGCACAGAATATCCTCGGGCCTCTCGGGACCTCAGTTTCCTCATCTGGAAAATGGGGGCAATAATGCTACCTAGCAGAAGGTCAGTGGGAAGATTCAATGAGACAGTGCCTGCAATGGGCTTAGTGTGGTTCCCGGCATGTAGTACGCATGAACTACAATTATTTCTGTAAAGAAAATTCACATGTATATGTATATGTGCGTCAGTGTGCACACATGTGCTATACAGGTTGAGAGAAAGTTCTGAAAGGATTCCAAATTCCTCACCATGTTTCACCCAAAAGGTGTGACATAGAGAGAGAAAAATCTGTTTTTTAATTTACATGCTGCATCTCTTGACATTTAGAATTTACTTTGTCATGATTTTTTTTAATAAAACATTTTTTAAAACATTCAAGAGCGTCCCATGATTTCCTTCTGGATGAGGCCTAAGCTCCTCATCTGGGTCCACCCAGCCCTGCAGAGTTGGTGCTGACGCTGTCTCCCATGGCTTCCCTACAGAGGGCACCACACTCGCTCTCACATCCTGGCCTTTACATAGGCCGTGCCCCTCCTCCAGGTACACAGATGTTTACAACATCCAA